TTTGAGATTTATAGATTTGTCTTGTTGGAATTCATTTTTAACAAAGTCTTTTCAAGAATATTGGTCATGTTTATGACGTTGGAATGTATTAATTCCCTTTCGTCTAATTGGTAACAGAACACATATGGAGAATGTGTGAGCTATGTTTAGGAATAAGTAAATACACAGTTGTAAAACTGTAAAAGTAATAAAAGGAGTGCATAATTGTGAATTTAAATAAATAATGGCGGAGTATTCAGGAATGGCAAGCCACGTCTCCTTGTCTGATCATTTCTTTCCTGTTTACAGGACACATATATAGCTGCCTACAGGTGCTGCCACCCGGTACCTGTAACATATACAAAAACAAAAATGTTCTGAATCACATTTAGATCATCTCAATAAATATTTGGGATTTGGGTATTCGTTTTAGTTTGATATTGCAAAAAAAATGACCTGGTATAGTGTTCCATTACCAGGAGGAAAGTCATACCTCATTCACCCCATCACCCCACAAAGAAGTTATTCCCCTCATTGACATTATCCAGTTAAACACCAGGCTCTACTTCCTCTATGTAAGGTGTGTCAGTAGGATTAAGGATCTCCTTGAAGTACTCTTTCCACACTGTCCACTGAAGTCACTACAGGACAACACTTAATCCCCCGCGGAGTAGTCATTTTGCTTTTCTACCTTTAAAAGCCGGAGAGCAGCCAAATGGCTGGTAGGCTTTTAGCTAAGCTTTAGCTTCAGCCAAGTGGAAGCTAAATTGGCTAGTCATTCATATGTATATTAGGTTGTTACCTGGGAATTCTGGAGGGAGGGGAGTGGGGGTGTGTGATTGAGGGGGTGGGGGAGCTGCTAAAAGCTGTGACACTTCCTTTTGTGTTTCATCTTGATGCATTCTCAATCATCCAGGGAAATAAATCTCCAAAAGTCACCAACTTGGAGTGTTTCAGTTTGCCATCTTAGGGAGAAATCAACACACATGGGTGTATGTCCTTTGTTGCTGAGATTTATTGATAAAAACAGTACAAAAAACCAACCATTTGTACACATATTTACAAATAATAATAAAAAGTGAGTGAATACATTTCAACATTTTCAGCAATCACTCACAATCCTGGCACTGCCATGGTATCTGTAGTCTGCATTTACCACATGTGTATCTGTAGCAGTGAACACATCTCACAGTAGCATGATTGTTCTTGCATGTTATAAAACACGGCAACTGGCCAGCGCCGTGTTCCTCTGCGGACAGTGTACTCCCGAACCATCTGGTCCATCACATCCACGCCACACTTTGTTTTGTTGTAAAGGGTGACAGTGTTTGGCTTCCTTTTGGTAGTGTTATCAGTCTGAACCACGCTGTGCATGCTGCTAAGAATATAGACTGTCTTCTTCCGTTTGGCCGCATACGCCGTCAGCGTGGCAGCAGAGGTTGAAAACACCTAAGAAATAAGATAAATTGTTATTTCCATAGTTGGTGACAAATGATCCCCACACACTGGAAATTGCAGCGAACTTATCAGTTGTGATTATGCTTTTATTATACCAGTGGTCTGATTGATGCCACAATGGACCATTGATCAGTCGTCCATTGTGGCATCAATCAGACCACTGGTATAATAAAAGCATATTTATCAAAGACCAGTGCTCTGATTGATGCCACGAATAACACTGCAACCCGTCACACCCCGCTTATCGACACAGCAAGCGATTATGCTATTTATCAAAGACCAGTGCTCTGATTGATGCCACAAATAACACTGCAACCCGTCACACCCCGCTTAGCGACACTGCAAGCGATTATGCTCTTGATCAATTGTGATCAAGGGTATATATATGATACAATCTCACTGCACTTAGCCTAATCCTTCATTGCCCTGAAGAATTCTGTGGTGTACGGACCTCCTCTCCAAGGAAAGAAAATGCAGAGAAGACTCACCACTCAGCAGGCCTTGGAAATGATCCTGACGGAAGTCGACCCTTGTGACTCGGATGGAGAAGACCTAGAAGTTCAGCCGGATTCGGACTCAGAGCTGTCTGATCAGTCTTCCGGTTAGTTTCATTTCATGTTATTTCCTTTTTCATTTCAAACAAGTAAGTGGATGTAGTTAGTAAGTAAGATATTTCAGACATTATTCTGATACAGAGGAGGAGATACTGGAATTATAATTAGTATCTATGCATGCATTTGTGATTTTGTTTGACCTTCCCATTGCTCACAATTTGAATTTGTTCACACTGCAGATGAGGAGACTGCTTCTCCACCGAAAAAGAGAGCTTGTTTGGGGACTGAGACAGCGAAAGATGGCACAGTGTGGCGTGAAGAACATGTGGGGACCTGTCTCCCTTTCACCCCAATAGAAGCGTACGCTGCAGATGGAGAGCCAACGGCTAAGGCCAGGAGAAGTATCTCGAGTCGCCTTCAGAGCTTCCTGTGTTTCATCACTCTTGACATGCTTCGTAGCATTCAAGAATGGACTATTCAACATGCACAGCAAACGGAGCATGTTCATTGGTTCATGGACCTCCCTGAACTAATGGCATTTATTGCAATTGTGATCTTGCGGGGGGTTTACAGGGTTCCATCTGTAAATGACTGCTGGTCAGCAAACCTGGGAAACCCACAGATAATTGGAACTATGGCACGAAACCGCTTCCAAGACATCATGCAACACCTACGCTTTGATGACAAGTCCACCCGCAGTGATCGAGCAAAGACTGATAAGTTCGCTGCAATTTCCAGTGTGTGGGGATCATTTGTCACCAACTGCATCACGTGCTACAACCCTGGTCTACATATCACCGTTGATGAACAGCTTTTCCCATCAAAGACTCGGTGCTGTTTCCTGCAGTATATTGCAAGTAAACCTGACAAGTTTGGGATCAAGTTTTGGGTGGCTTGCGACCTAAAATCCAAGTACATTTGCAATGTCTTCCCATATCTTGGCAAGGACCCCAATCGTCCCACTGGGGAGAGACTTTCTGAAAATGTAGTAATGAGGCTGATGGAACCATTCCTAGACAAGGGCAGAAATGTTACCACGGACAATTTTTTCACATCGCTTTCACTTGCGCAAAAACTTCTTAGACGGAAAACCACCATCCTCGGCACAGTCAACAAGATTCGCAGGGAAATTCCTCAATCCACTAGACAGACAGATCGCAATGAATTCACCACTCAGGTATGTTGCAGGTCTTTTGTGGTTCTATGTTTATGTGTTTCATTGTGTGTAAAAGGGCTATGGAAATAACAATTTATCTTATTTCTTAGGTGTTTTCAACCTCTGCTGCCACGCTGACGGCGTATGCGGCCAAACGGAAGAAGACAGTCTATATTCTTAGCAGCATGCACAGCGTGGTTCAGACTGATAACACCACCAAAAGGAAGCCAAACACTGTCACCCTTTACAACAAAACAAAGTGTGGCGTGGATGTGATGGACCAGATGGTTCGGGAGTACACTGTCCGCAGAGGAACACGGCGCTGGCCAGTTGCCGTGTTTTATAACATGCAAGAACAATCATGCCACTGTGCGATGTGTTCACTGCTACAGATACACATGTGGTAAATGCAGACTACAGATACCATGGCAGTGCCAGGATTGTGAGTGATTGCTGAAAATGTTGAAATGTACTCACTCACTTTTTATTATTATTTGTAAATATGTGTACAAATGGTTGGTTTTTTGTACTGTTTTTATCAATAAATCTCAGCAACAAAGGACATACACCCATGTGTGTTGATTTCTCCCTAAGATGGCAAACTGAAACACTCCAAGTTGGTGACTTTTGGAGATTTATTTCCCTGGATGATTGAGAATGCATCAAGATGAAACACAAAAGGAAGTGCACAGCTTTTAGCAGCTCCCCCACGCCCTCAATCACACACCCACTCCCCTCCCTCCAGAATTCCCAGGTAACAACCTAATATACATATGAATGACTAGCCAATTTAGCTTCCACTTGGCTGAAGCTAAAGCTTAGCTAAAAGCCTACCAGCCATTTGGCTGCTCTCCGGCTTTTAAAGGTTGAAAGGTAGAAGCCTGGCAGTGCTAGTTTAATCAGTCTGTGTTTATCAGGTTACACATTCGTATCGTCAGGTTTTACTACACATTACATCGCTTTCAGTTTCTCTCATTCAAATAGCTTATGAAACAAAACACACATTTAAAAACATGTGAAATGTTGCACCTTGGATATGCTCAGAGCATCACGTGTAAGTTTGTGGTGTCAAAAATATACTTTAACACTGGTGGGGAGTTCGCATTAGGGGCGAGTGACTTCTTGTAGACTTCCTCATACAGCAAGAATCAGCTGGTTAGTCATCTACCAGTGAGGCGAGGCTCTAAAATGAATTATTTTTAGATGTTCAAAGTGATGCTAAGTACTGAAAATGTATTCACTTTATGTGCATATCAGGATAATGTGCTCACAAAAGATCCACACTGTTCAAGATTAGGATTATTAGGGTATGAAGAGTCAACCACACACATGAAGTAGGAACATAATAAATCCAGGCCTCTTCGTCGCTTGCAAAACTGCCACGATATCAAATTTTCTCACTCATAGATGTTTAGAGGAAGTCACATGAAAAGCAGAAACTGAATTTTTATTTTTAGATTTCTTTTTCTTAATTACAATTAAAAAATTGCTTTTAAATTTGATTAAGACCAACTTTTTACCAAAAAAATTATTTTCACACCAGCAAATAACAAACTGATAGAACCTTAGATTGAGGGTTTTTGTTTTGCTATTTCTTATCTTCATATTCATAATCACAGGGATTTTATCTTGTGGCTCAGAAACTAATAAACTATCCAATGTGTTTACTGTAAGTGTCAGTATTGTTTACTTAAAAAATAAGTGTTTGATTCACATTAAACAAGAACATCACAGTGTAGTTTGGCATCAAACAGACAGTGCTGTCACTATTGTAGCTCCTCCCACATAACCAACCGTTCCTCTAAATAAAACTCTTACCTTTGAGGAACTCTCTTATGATTTCTGCATTTTGATTTCATCTCCTCCTCTGAAACTTTCAAGAGAAGTAACACTGAACTCCTGTGTTGTTTACATTTTCCATGTGAGTGACAGAATGGACTGGATAGTTAGTGCTACGCTATTCTTGTCAGGTAAGACAAGCTTGCGCATTTTGTGTTTGTTTTTTATTCATTAATAATAAATGTCTGAAAACAGTAAAAATATGTAAGTAAGTTTTTCTACTAAATACAGCACAGTGACAAAGTGTCTTAAAAAAATATATTTCTTGTGGAATTAAAAACAAGTAGGGACTACAGATTAGCAAGGGAAAGCAAATCATTTATAAATACCTTTGTAATGGCAATTTCCTTATTTGCATTTTTCTCCTTTATCTCCGCAATCAACTCAGTTAACTTCTGACTGTATCAATAGTTTAATTACTAAAATGTTTATGAGTTTATTTCCTGAATAGTCAAACAAAACAAAAGTAAATTCTTACTTACAACCCAAAACCAACTGTAGAACTGGACATAAAATCCAATATACTTATTACTTCTTGTGTATATATCCATTTTCCATGACCATGTCCCTCAGTGGCAAAGCTCAGCGAGCCCCAGATACAGATCCAGCCGTGTAGGCACACACCCACACACACACACTTGCACACACACCCAAGCCATTCACTTACTTGCTCACACATATCCACCCATTAACAACACAAGCAGTGAACCAGATGCGAGCTCGTGATCTGTTTTGGGAAGGACTTAGTCCTAACACATGCATTCGGAGAGCTGTATAGATCCAATCTATGAAGAATGTGCCAAAAATCTAAATTTGTATAGAGCGGCTAAAAAGAATTTAGAGTTTACCAGGTCAAAGACTTTCTCTGTAACTAAAAAGACAACTGCGGTTTCTAATTTATTGATGGAGCAATAATCTATTATATTTATATTATATTTATTAGTCTGTGTGTTTTTTTAGTGGTGGAGTGTTTACCCTGTTTGATCAGGATGTATTATGGATCAAGTGATTTTATTCTAATCTTCTGACAAGGACTTTGCAGAGTATTTTAAGGTTAACATTTATGACTGTAATCGGGCGGTATGTTTGGAGATTACTCTGAATCTGAGTTACCATATACCAAAAAAAAAAAGTAGGTGCTATCATAGGCCAAAGTTCTTTGTAACCCTCAGCTGGAAACCCATCTGGATCTGTGGCTGTGCCAGAGAGACTGGCACTGGTGCATAATCTGATGGTGATATAATGAAGCTGCTAACTAAAAACTAGTCCAAGCAAGAGTGTGAGTACTGGAGTACTGGTTATAAGAAGGTGTAATCCCTGAGAGTGGGGTGATGTTAATGCCAAGCATTGCAAAGACCAAAATCACTCATCTATTGTTTAAGAATGTCTGTGGACTGCCCATTCCTTTGACTCACTGCTGTACTGAGCCTTTAATTGCTAGAAACATTTGATTCCTAGATACTGGCAATACATAAATACTGAGCCTGGATCTAAGTGGATCTAAGTTTTACAAATCTAGCTTCTGGATCTGTAATAACAGTTGCTAACAGTGAGTTTATTCTTCTGCTTATTAGTATGGCTACACCTCTGGTTTTTGAGTTGTAACAAAATGAAAATGTGTGAGGAAGATGTGGATAAGTGTGTGCACAGATGTTTCAGACCAATGAGTCCACAATGTAGAAAGACAATGTTTGCCATTTAACGGGTTAGAAAGCTTAAGCCTCTTTTACTTCAAACCAACTTCCCATACATGCCATGCGACAAATCTCAGTGTGGTCATGTATAACCTATCCTAGTACTAACTAGGATCAGTACAGCCATTGTGTGGTGTTTTAGTCATGATAAAGCTGCCCTTTGACATACAGCTTATTGACCACGATGACAGCCTGGGAGCCTCCTTGAATGAGCCTTTTTTGGACAGAGAACAGGAACTTGCATCACTCCAGCATTTCCTTTGGAAACTGCAAACATTCAAGTCTGTTCCTCTCAGCTCCTAGCTGCGGCTTTTTACCAGTGTTTGAATTTGTCCACAAAAGATCGGGATCTGCATCCATCTGCTCATTTACCTTCAAAACAATGAGCACGGTGTATGCTGATGTTTTTAACTACATCCACCCAGAGTTTCAGATAAGTCTGGATATCATGACTCACCGTTGTTTCTGGATCCTCTTCTGCCATCTCTGGTATTCCTGAAAACACCAAGCTATCCATCATGCTGTGAGCCTGCAGCTCAATAATAGTGTCTTTGATCTTTCAGTTTTCTCGGGTCATTCCTTCTCGATGGATTTCACCAACTCTCTGAGGATGGTGTTTACAGCAGCAAGTGTTTGCAGCCAGCAGCTGCTGTCTGAATTCCACTGACTCATGCAGCACTTGAAAGTCTTTTTGAAGGATTACCAAAAGGGCTAGCCATGAATCACAGCTGCAGAGTTTTGTGCTTATTGACTTCAAAATGCCCACCATGTCACCGGTCTGTGGAGAGACCGGCTACAGGGAATCTTCATGGATGGTGCTGGTTTGCTGCTTGAGCAAGTCAGTGCGTTTGGGTTCCTGATAACAATGCGCAGAAACGCTCATAAATATAAGTCTGAACTGTCCAGATGTAATTTGCAGTCTTCCAGAGTGCTGAAGTTGATTAAAATATAGTTATAATTCTCATTTTTTATGACTTTTAAAGCTTTCTAGGTGTAAACTGGCAGAGAAAATTAGTGGAATGTTTGCAATTAGCAATTTAGCTCAGCTGCACACGCTCAGTGCTGCTGAGATTCTTGTTGGGTCTTGCATGACTACAGCATAGCCCTTTGACTTTGTTACGTATGGATGTTGTGGTATGAAATTTTCACTGTATGGTAATCAAATCAAAAAACATTTAAGCTTCCACAATGAAATCTAATAACTTCCAAGCAAGTAACTGCTTTGAGCACAATATTCTGAGCTTTTTAGTCACTAGTGCTAATGAAAGGTTAAAAAAAAAACCACAGCCTACTTTTCTCAATGTGATTTGTAATTAGAGGTGCTATAACCACATTTTCATTCTTATGAAGGCTTTAAATAAAACTTCTGATATTCTTCTTTCTTCTTAAATTTTCAGTGTTTAGTGCCACACTTTGTTTCAATATTGAGCCCGTGGCTTGGAGAGCCCTGAGGAGCTCTGCTGCTGGTTTTGGTTACCGGGTGGTTCAAAGACAATCAGAGTAAGTGAACATTGGTTTCCATCTATGTGTTTAAGATTATTGCTATTTATGTATTGATTTTGAACTACCATCTCTGTTATGCACCAGAGCAAAAAATAAATATATAAAACACTTGTAGTTTTGTAGTTTAACTTACATCATTGACTGAATTTATTTCCTCAGTCTGCTGGTCAGTGCTCCACTTGAACAGTATTCACAAAATGAAAGAGGGAGAATATATAGGTGCACCACATCTTCCCAAACCTGCCAAGATATCCAATTTGAAGGTAGGTAACTGGTAACAGTAAATATTTTGCTGTCAAAGAAATTTTGCACAAATCCAGGCACAGGAACTCGTTAAACCGGTTCATAGAGTACATATATCCAGGTATCTTAGTAGGTACCTTTCACTCTTCAAAAACAATATTGATTTACCAGTTAATAAAATTAAATAAGCAAAGAAAAAAAAATCATTAAGGTTTTTCTTTTCTATTGTTTTCAACATATTAAAATTACATAATAGTGAAATTTTATTCTGTTTTTCTTTCAATTTGTTACCTTCACCCTTGTGCTCTTACTTTTACAGTGCATTTTATGTTTTGTTTTAAAAAAACAATAAAAATGTAATGTTTTCACTACAGCACCAGGTTTCGCAGTCAACATGTCGCTTGGTTTGACAATGAAAAGCGATCAAAGAGCACAAAACACTGTGGTGAGTTACTGAACTGCAGACATTGCCAGTGTTTTGTTAAATTCTCTAAGGATCAAAATCTTCTGTCCTCTGTGTGTCAGATGTTTTGTTATAATCTCAAAATGCATGAAGGTCAATTCATAATGTACTTAATAAGTTGTGAAGGCTCTAAAGTGCTGTAAAAATGAAAAAACTAAAATCATGTTTTAAAATGCTCAAATTTGTCCCTTAACATAGAAATTATTAATCATATCAAGGTAAAAAAAATTGCACGACTTCTTTAAAAGACTAAAGGGTTTTTTTTTTGTTTTTTTTAAATCACCATTTCTGAGCAGCCATATAAGAATTTGTTTTTTGTCAAATTGATTGATCTCAAACAATAAACCATTGTTTAATCACATCTTGGCTTTGTCTCCTCTCAGGTGTGTGGTCCAACCATTGCAAAGGACTGCAAAAGCATCACCATGTACAACGGGGTGTGCTTTCAGTTGGACCGTTATAATAGGCTTGGACCACCCGTACCTTCTTCTATTCAAGGTAACAGTAAAAGGAGTTTGGCAAAGAGACACTCTTTAACACATACTCTCTTATACATGTCAGCATAAATTAAGGCTGATCAGAAAAAGCAGTGGAGCAAATAAAAAAAATATTTTTTTGGAAAATGAGATTGCTGCAAAGGTAGAAGTGACACCAGGCTACATGTATGACTTGTATGATTTGGTGTAAAAAAAAGAGATGACAGTCAAGGCCAAATATGAAGCCACACCCCTAAAAAAATTTGCAAGAGAAAAACCCAAATCAAGTTTAGATATTGCTTAGAAATCATTTCCTTCTCTTTTTTTAAAATTATATTTTTTTTGAAAAGGGATTGTTACAGTAAAGTGAATTAATATTATTTAGTCAAAAGGAAAAAAAAAGACTTTTTCTTAGTCCTTTTGTTTTACATTCACATAACAAAAAGTGAACTCGGTGGCTTGACAGTGTATACATAATGCACCATATTTAACTTATTTACTTAAAGTACATTTAATACATATTATGAAGTAGAGGGTTGACCTGGCATTATACAATACATGGGAGATACACCAATTCAGGGCTGATGTTACCTAAATTCAGGGCGGATGGGGGACACAAAGCTAATCCATTTATTCCATATTTTGTAGAATTTATCTTTTTGAATTTTTAAGGAGAATGTCAATTTTTCCATGTTAAATATTTCAAAAACCACATTAAACCAATCCTCAATGTTGGCGGAGTTGGATTTAGCCAATTTTTCGTTATTGATTTTTTGCTGGCCACTCATAGTGCTTGTAAGAGCTTTGTGTCCCATCCCCAGACCCATGTACAAATTTACAAAATTACAAGTTTTATCTTAAAGACCTCGCACAGAGTTTAATGGATTGCCTTGATGTGCCTTTTCTGATCCATATCTTCTCCAGCTTCTTGCTGTCATTTTCATTGGTCTCTACAAGATAGTGAACTTGTTGAGTACCAATGAAAATTACAAATCCTCTCCCAGTTCTCGTTTGTTATACCCATCCCTGATTCCAATTCCCATTTGGTCTTAATGTTTTGAGTAGTATCCTTCCTTGCCCGAAGAAGCACATTATATAGTTTGGAGATTGCCTTTCTCAGAGAAACAACATATGTTAATTTAACTATCTTAAAAATTCCTGACTCAAGCGAGTTTGGGATATTGCAATATTGGTTAAAATAATCGCGCATTTGAAGAAACCTGAAGAAATCTACTTGTCTTAGGACATTTCTTATTTGTAAAGACTGAAAACTCTGTAGTGTCCCTTTATGTGTGGAGAAATGGAATGTTGTTAGCCCACTCTCTATCCAAGACTGAAATCTTTTATCACTTTCATTTGGTTTAAAATCTGTATCGTATGCACACCATCTAAATTCTTTTAGTATCCGTTCACTAGAAACATCACAAATTGGGTTTGTAATTATTTTCCTTTTTGAATGCATACTTTAGAGAGTCTATTTAGAGTTAAAGTTGGATCTTTTACATCAACTTTATTAAGAATTTACATTAAAGAGAAACTTGTCTAAATGAGGTATTTATGGTAACCCCCACCCACAAAGTCCCAAGTCTTGCACTGCATTCAACCACTTCAAGCAACTTCTCCTTTTAATGTGTGCCTTCCTCTTCTTTGTTATTTATTTTTGTTGTCCTAGTATTTATATGTTATGCACAGTTGGTGTGAGCAGCCATAGTTTCATTGTACATGTACAATGTGCAACAAAGGGCTATTCTTTTCTATTCGATTCTATTGTTTATATAATATGAGTGTGAGGAAAATGTTAAAATTAACCCTTTAAAATGTATTTCATTCTGAAATTAATCTCTTTGATAGGGTGCCCACTGCAAACAGACATTGCCTTTCTGTTGGATGGTTCAGGCAGCGTGTCTCAGCCTGATTTTCAAACAATGAAGAGATTTGTGAAAGAGATAATTCAATCATTTCTCTCAAGTGAAACACAGGTAAGCAGCTGTTGTCGCTCTGTCAGTAAAATCATGGCACAGATATAAAATAGTTCCATTGTTATTTCTATTAAGTCCCATAAAAATAATGTTTTACGTGTTTTAATTTCTGCCTTTTCAGTTTTCTGTTTCCCAGTTCTCCACTTATCCAGAGGTTCACTTTAACTTTAAGAAATTTTCCTCATCTGGATCAGTGGAGACTGACATCAATGGAATCAGACAGCAGGGGGGATCTACTTACACAGCTAAGGCCATCACACATGTTGTGTAAGTAATACAATGATATTACTGAAGCACTGCAGTTACCTCATTGTTTGGACTTCCTGTCCAGATGACTTTTTTTCTTTGAATCTGACCACACTAATTTGACTGTGACTGCAGGAAGCCTTTTAAATGGGACACTGTACTCAGACTTGGGTTTTAAAGCATCTTCACCAGAGTCATGGCACCCAAAAAGGCTAAATTCAAATGTTTGCAGATTTAAATTTGAAAAAAACAAACAAACAAACTTGTATTACATTGATTTGTACAAAAGTAAAAAAAAAAAAAAAAAGAGCAAAACAGAATGATGTATGCTTAAATAACAACCATGCAATATACCTGATAGTATATAATTTACAAGATCAACTGTAAAACAAAACAATCTTTAGAAATTCGATTTTTTTTTTTATTTGACAGGAACAACGTTTTCACACCACAAAGAGGTTCCAGACCAAATGGGAAGAAGGTCTTGATAGTAATTACTGATGGACAATCTACTGACCGGTATGATCTACGAGATGCAACAAAGCGAGCAGAGAGTAAAAACATTGTTCGATTTGCTATTGGGGTAAGTACTTTCATTACTAAACTTGCAGAATGTTGCGTTTTATACTAGTACTTGGTTTTGTTCACTTGTCACACTACACTCCCATAATAATGCACTATAGGGAGACAGGTCCTGAGCAACTCATTCACTACAGCTTCAGAAGCTGCTTGGCCATAGAGACCCAGTCTATGAAGCTCACAATCTTTGTGCTGCATTAATGCCACAGGAGGTTAAAAGTGTTTTCAACTTTTACACTGAGTTGGCATGGCTCTAAAGCAGGGGTCCCCAATCCCAGTCCACGAGGGCCGGTGTCCCTGCAGGTTTTAGATCTCACCCTGGGTCAACACACCTGAATCACACGATTAGTTCATTACTAGGCCTCTGGAGAACTGAAGACATGTTGAGAAGGTAATTTATCCATTTAAATCAGCTGTGATGGATCAAGGACACATTTAAAACCTGCAGGGGCACCGGCCCTCGTGGACTGGGATTGGGGACCCCTGCTCTAAAGGCTTCCACTTTGAAATAATACCATTTATAGTCAATCGTGGAATATACAGGAGGGATTAAATTTCACAAACTGACTTGTTGCAGCAGTGAGATCATATTACAGTATCACACTCATATTAGCTAAGGTCTTTAAAATGACTAATTCTTTCTCAAATATTTGTTAAGGCTAAGTAATGGCTTAGTGATGTGTGTAAATTTTACTGTAAATCAGGTGAAGTATAAGGACTGTATTTTACTAAAGTGAGCAAATAATCTTGCTTAATATGAGGACTCAAACATATCTGTAAAATCATAGGTGGGCAGCGCTTTTAGGCTCCCTGATGCAAGAAAAGAACTGCGCACCATTGCATCCACTCCCTCATATGTGTTTGAAGTGGAGAACTTCGACGCACTTGAAGTAATAAGACAGAATCTGCAGGACAAAATTTTCTCCATCGAAGGTATGAACATGAATTTATTGTTTCAACTTAAAATTCCTGTAAATGTTTCAAAAATTCAAATAATTACATTATGTTAAATATTATTTTACTGCCTACCTATTCATAAGAGTTTTTTCACATCAGATGTCATTCCTAACATGATGATAATCTGTGTGTTTTACTGGAATTGAAGCAGTGAACTTTCATTTGTTGTGTAAACTGCTACACTATGAAGCAACTAAAATCACCACATTGTATCAACTTTATTATATTGTATTCATTAGATTCACATTTTAAATTGAACATCCTGTAACTTTACATTAGAGAAATGAACAACAAATGCGGTTATAATAAACAGTAAAAAATCATTTGAAATTATTTATTATATTAATGAATGTAATAATAATGCTAAATTTCATGCTAAGCATGCTGTTACTATAACATTTTGAAAGGAAGAATCCATTTTCAGATACTTTTATAATAAACTAATTATTTGAAAATTGTACTTAGCATAATGAAGCATAGTGAGAGAATGAACCTGTATGAATGTATATGTTGTATTGTGTGTCTCTTTTACCTTCTCATTTATTTTTCTGACACAGGATCTCAAAGCAGTGGAGAGTCACTGGAAATGGAAATGTCTCAAGAGGGATTCAGTGCAGTTATTGTGCCTGAGGTAATTGAAACTACCTGAAACTTACCAGACAGCCGAGTCATAGAAAGAAAGATTCACATGTGCCTTTGTGGCAGTTTTTATGACCTATAAGCAAATAAACATTTATACAGTTTAATAAATTATATATAAAAGTTATTTTCTTTCTACACTGTAGGGAATTCAGATGTCTATTGTTGGTGCAAACCAGTGGAAGGGAGGCTACGTGCAATACACAACTGGAGGGGAGAAGGTGAAAACATATGAGGATGTGTCTTTGGAGCCTGACAGTTATCTTGGTAAGAATATTACAGCTTTAACAATCTAACTCATACACATGTGATCATGTATATACACAGCTCTGCTCCAGTTCTTTCACCCAGAAACACTAATGAGTTTGCAAAACGGACACAATTTTGTCATGAAACTGCTGTGTCAGGCAGGAGAAAGGACCCAAATGCAGAACTCAAAACACAGGGATGAACTGAAGGAGGCTGCTTTATTGCAGTGGCAAAACTTATACAAAAACACTTATAAAACCAAACCAAAACCCAGAAACTGGCAACTAAAAACAAAACACTGGGAAACTCAGGATTGCAATCTCTGGGAGCACAACAGGAGAAACCCACAAGCATGAGGGGTCGATGCAACGCTGACTGAGAGAAACACAGGGCTACAATACATGGAGGGATAACAAGGGAATAGGACACAGGAGGACACACACCTGGGAGTAATCAAACACAACAAGACAAGGGGAAGCCAAACTAGACACACTACCATGAGACACAGATTTACAAAGTAAAGCAGGAAACATAACACATAAGCGCAGGCTTAACAAAGGGATAGAGCTGACAGGGGAGACAAAGCAACCATGGAACACGGAGACAAAAACCAGAATACTAAGAGCGCTAACACCGAAACCAAAAGACTAGAAATGATAAATACTGACAGAATCAAAGTTCAATAATAATGCAAAACACTGGGTCACTGACGCAGGACCATGACAAATTTAAATGGAGGCATATTAATCTTTCTTCCCCCTTTGAATACCTAAATTCTAGGTTACTCTATGGCAGTTGCTAAAACCCAACGTGGCTCTCTGACAGTTGTTGGTGCTCCAAGATATAAACACAGAGGAGCTGTGGTCGCTGTTAACAGAGAAAACTTGAAAAACCAAAAGATTGAGTCCTTTTCGACACAGGTATGTTTTTGCAGGAAGACAAAGCTGAATCAAATTGTAAAATTATTTTCTCGAAAATAAAAGCTGTTTCAGTTACACAGTTTTTCTAATTAATAATTTTATTGCTTTAACATTATCAGACTGGTGCATATTTCGGGGCAGAGGTGTGTACCATGGACATAAATAATGATGACATCACTGATCTAATCTTCATATCTGCCCCAATGTACATGGAGCCGGATAGAGAGGGAAGAGTTTATGTTTGCAGATTAACTGGTTCGGTAAATATATTTAGAATATTTAGAATATTTTATGTACTACAGTTAAATTAATCAGTTTATTTGCCAACTTTCTTAATGATCATAAAATATTAACTCACTTCCTTTTAGTTTGTGGAGTGTAATTTTGATGATCCATTAATACTAAGAGGACATGCAGCTGTCAAAGGAAGGTTCGGCTCTTCTCTTGCTGTGCTGCCTGATCTAAACTCAGATGGATTCAGGGATTTGGCAGTTGGAGCACCTTTGGAAAATAGTGGTGAAGGCAGCATCTACATATTTAATGGTGAAGGAAGAGGAAGAATCAGTCCTACTTACTCACAGGTACATGACATCAAAGAACTCACAATGATGACTAAAATCATCTACCACGTAATTCCAATATCTATACAATCTACAGTTGGAATATATAATCTGATTAAAATATTATGTATATATATGTACACAGAGAATTACTGGCTCTGAGGTCCAGTCAGGACTGAAGTTCTTTGGCCTCACAATCAGTCAGTCATCTTTTGATCATAGTGGTGATGAACTGCCTGACTTAGCGGTGGGTTCAAAGGGTAGAGTTGTCTTACTGAGGTAAGTCAAAGATAGTGTAATCATACATTACTGTCGTTCATGATAATTCTATCATTTTTGTTGATGGTGAACCTTAATGAATTCACTAATGTATAAAGGTTTACATCAGTTTGAAATATAGAACAGGGTAAAGCATATTTATTTTTCAAAGGTCAAATTATATTAATGAAAGTTTATAATTTTCAAAACGTAACTAATGAATGGATTTCCTTTTTCTAGTTATCTTAACACTTGATTGAAAATGCTCTACTGGTTAAAGAAGCAATAAATGTGGTTGCTTAAGCATCTAGAATTATAGTCTGTGTTCAGTCTTGTTGTAACAAATGATTTCCATTCAGAAATTGAAATGCATGCATTACCCCAAAACAGAGGATTTAATAAAATAGTGTGTAGTAAAGTCATGTTAACATTATGAAATAATTATCATTTAGTAAGCCAATTGGTATGATAAAGTTACTTAACTGAAACACTATTGTTCTAGAGTTATGAAAATTCAATCAAAAAGCATTTCCTTAAATGTTCATTTAAGATTTGTTGTATAAATAATTTCAGCTTGAAAAAGGACATTTCTGGGTGACTCAAAATTCTGTAGCTTTAAGTTAAAACCCCAAATGTAATTTACATGTTTCCCCCCTACTTTCCAGATCAAGACCTATAGTAATGGTAAAAGCTGAGGTGTTATTCAGCCCAAACCAAATTCCTACTCAGAATGTAGACTGCTCAAAACCATTGGAGAACACAGCTGCAATCTGTTTTACCATGAGCAGAGTGTCTACAGTCAACGCAGGTTCATCATTCACCTCACTTTTTGTAAAACAAAAAAGCCAGTGTCCATTATTTTAATGTTAATGTCTAAACATTTGTAACATGGAAATGTATTTGTTCCAGCTCAAGCAAGGATTGATTACACTTTAACACTGGATGCTTCTCGCAAATCTCCGACCAACCGGGCTTACGTCAGTGGGAAACAACAAGAGCAGTCTGGATCAGTTACTCTTGACTTACAAAACCGACAATGTTCAACTGTAAAATTCATTATCGAGGTAAAAAATAAAACATCTGAAAAAGTACTAAAACCAAGAGAGATTCAAGTCATTAAACAAAAGATTGTTTTTTCAGAGTCCTCTAAACTTAACGTTGTTCTCTTCTTGCAGGCCTGTCCAGAGGATGCTCTTAATGTACTTTCCAATGAGCTCAAATTCATATTTGATGGGTTGCCATTAAACACAAACCTCAGGCCAAGTCTTGCCCCACAGAGTCAAACAGCAACTATTTTTCCTGTAAGTAACCCAAGAAAAAAAATACCAACCAACTAAAAAACAAACCCAAAGAATATTTGACTGGATAACTGAGCCTAGTCAAAGTTAAGAAACAGTTTTAGTTTTGCACTTTCATTTTCAAATGCCTTGTATTATTGGCATGCAATTGACTTATACCTATTGGAGACACTTCTACTGAAGTAATGGAAGTAAATGGGTTATATTTACCCCAGTGGTGTACCCCTACAATACATGCAAGCTGTGCAAAGAACAGCTTTCTGTGTGCAATTTCTTTTAGTCTTTTAAAACACGTTTTTAACACAGTAGAGAACCTATATAGTTCTCAGCTGCTTCCACAGTAGTGACAAATTTCAAGTTTAAAAATAAAAAATGTCACAGACTACCCGTCTGCCTGCAGCCATTGTTTGTTGTCAGATGAGGACAGCATCAGAAACACATGATACATCCAGTCTTTAGGCTAATCTTGCGTGCTGTTGATAGTCCATCAGTCAACTACTGAGAAAAGCGAAGTTATGACATCCAAAGAGCTGAAGTGAAACCAAGTGTTAAAAACAAAGTCAAGTGTCCATGGCAGCCACTGTGTGTACTTTGCACAATCTATTTTTGATCTTTTATGACTTTATTTTCCTCTTTTTTTGCATATTTGATTGATTCCTGGTGAACTCCACTGTTTCCCCTTTCCCTATTCTGGACCACTTGTCAACAAATCAGCATTCGACTGATGCATAGGTGATTAGGACTGCTCAATTAATCGAATTTTAATCACGATTACGATCTGGGCTTTCAACGATCATTAAAAATGACTGAGCCGATTATTAGCCCCTCCCTCGTGCTTTACTCTCATGCTGCTCCGTGTGGCAAAGCGAGCGCACCTCTCTGCATTTCGAACACGTGTCACAACAATTAAGAGCAGCGGTCCCCAACCATTTTTGCGCCACGGACCGGTTTGTGCCCGACAATATTTTCACGGACCGGCCTTTAAGGTGTCGCGGATAAATACAACAAAATAAAACTAGTACCGGTACCGAAAAAAAGAAAATTTATTCATAACACAAGTGAAAAGACCCAGGAAAACAGAGTAAACAATAAAAACGATAACAAAATAACGCTGAAAACCGATAAAAACCCTGAAAACTATACATTTCACACCTGAGCCTCAACGCTCGCGGCCCGGTACCAAACGACTCACACACCGGTACCGGTCCGAGGCCCGGGGGTTGGGAACTGCTGATTAAGAGGACCCAAGGGAAGCTCGGAAAGCTAAGCAGAAGTTATTTGGAGTGGAGAGTGACTGCCGTTGGTTGAAAAGAGAGGTAAAAAAAAAACTTCAGTGGTGTGGAAGCATTATTGGTTCGCGGAGTCAGACGTGGATCAAGTAGACATAGTGTGTAAACTTTGCTACGGTGTCGTAGCTGCACCACAGAGCAACACTGCAAAGTTCACTAAACATAGATGTTTACATTTTTAATTTACTTTTTATATTGCAAACATTTGCACTGTTATCAGTATTTGCACACTATTTTATGACAATCTTTAAAGTCATTATTCAATATATTGTTATTGTTAAATAAATATCGTCAAATAATCGAGATCTCAATTTCAGTGAAAATAATCGTGATTATCATTTTTGCCATAATCGAGCAGCACTATAGGTGATTTTGTCTAGCGATATGCAGTTGGGATTGTGGAGGGCTGCACAGGAGCACATTTGCAGTGGTTGAAAACCAGCAAAGTGGTATACTGACTTGCAAACTGCCAGAACGTCTGATACTGTTTTTGGAGTCTGCATAAGGAGTTAAAAGTATGTCTTGGACACTTGCTTGCATGTGCTTCACTCTCTTTGTGGTTGCATTATGTCCTCCAGACCTTTTTTTTTTTCAGTTGAAAGGTGACGGGGCTCTTCCACTTATTGGTCATGTTATCTCAGCGTTTCTTCCTAATGGATGTGGCAACTGTCTCCGTTTGACTTACAAAAATTGCCTAGTTGGAAGGAAGAATATCTACTTGGTACCAGATCAGATGTGTTGAGCGGCTCCTTGGCTCCATAGTCACCGTTGCAGATGAGAAACTAACTTCAGCCTTCCCATGCCTGGATGTAGCTGCCACCTGGCATTTCACCTTTTGAACAAGCTGGGAACTAAGCCAAATGCCTAGGCTAGCTCCATGTCTTGCCAGAAAATCTGAGCCTAATTCTCTATCCTGAATAAGGATGATTTCCACGCTGCTGGTGATAACTACAATCATACTCCATCTGTGGGGTGCCGAATCAGAATCCTTTAATAAACAGACTAAAAAATGATGTGGTCACAGTTGGTGCAAGACAGTAAGTGGCCTTCTGTAGTTGCCTCCATCTGGCAGGTGTCCATCTCCCTTCTTGACCAACTTTTCTGGGATCAACCTCATCACTGTGGCCAAGTAGCATTCAATTCACCCCTTGCCCTAGTGATGCTCTTCCCAGTGCTAGGGTGGTCTGCATGCCACCCACCCAGTCATCCAAACTCTGGTTCACTCTAGCTCTATCTTGAAGAGCTACTGTTGTTCAAGAGACACCCACTAGGTGAACAATTTTATTACCTTCCATAAAATAACAGATCTCTTTGGAAAAGATCAAATTTGTCTAAATATGAAACTATGGCAGAAATATTTTGTTTTTGGTCCAAAAGGTCAGAAAAAAAAATTCTGTTCATATCAATACTATTTTTTGGAAACACATCTGGAATCTGGGCATAATTTTTGTGTTCTCAGTTTTGATAAGAATATTAATAAGGCCACAGTGACACGGTTTTGTAAACGGACTCAGGCGCAGACCAGGAGACCTTTGCAGAAACTGATAGTGCGTTTATTTACAGTGGTGTCACCGGGTGATTATATATATACAAGGTGCTCGGGGAAGGGGTCCGGGGCTCCAGGGGTGAAGGGTCCAAAACCACACTCTGCTCTTTCATCCAACAATCCCACTCTTTTCCCACTCCAGTCGCTCTTCTCGCTCACTCGGGGGTACAGGGACGGGTCCGGGGGGAATCTACACACACAAACAGAAAATCCAATTAGTAGCACTAGATCACAAGGAAACTCACAGACTTAAGCAGATTGATGAAGCACTAACGCAGGTGACTCAACGTTCCAGCGACGAGTAGTGTAGGTCTGCCATCTTAAAAAGCCCTTCTGATTGTAGTAACCAGCGCCAGGTGTGATGATGAGCACAGGTGTGTGGGCCAGGGGTGGAGCCCACAGTGAGCACCGGGGAAAGAGAGAGAGAGAGCACAAGAACACATGTTGCCTAACACGGAATCAGCCGGTGAGGCACGGGGACCGTGACACACAGATAGTTCTTTTTTTAATCACTTAAAGATATTTATCAAAAATTAAATAATTCTCAGCTAAAACTGACTCAGAGAAATTAGTCTCTGCTTAAGCAGGTAAGACTAGGCAAGGCAAGGCAAGTTTATTTGTATAGCACAATTCAACAACAAGGTGATTCAAAGTGCTTTACAGAGACATTAGAAACAAGAACAAATAAAAAGCATGATTTAAAATTGATTAAAACAAGCAAATAAACTAACTAACTAATTAACAAACAAACAAAC